CAGGGGGGAACGCAGTGTGATTGAGAATGGGCGACAACTGGACACTTGGGACCTCTTAAAATCGCAACGCTTGTTGTGTCGACTGTTGTTGTTTGGCCTTTTTGAACCTGTGATTAAAATCGCTTCTCTTATTGGAACACCGCAGAGGTGATGTTCACGACAGGGGTGTTGAAAAATTCGAGCTTTACAAGAGCTAGTAAATGTTCAAAACCTGGCTGACAGGTCTTTTAGGCTGAAGGTAATTAATTATTTGGAAGTATATGAATCAAGTGGAATATTAGAATGTCACGTATACTTTCCGAGGATGCATAGTTGCCTGACAACCGAAGCTAAACCATCGTTATTTGGAGCAATTAATATATTTCCCAAAAGAATGAATAAATTTACACAATTTTAAAATCTTTACAACCTGAAAGCCATCAGAGATTTGAAAAATCACCCACATTTACGGGAGTCCTTTGTTGTTCCTCCATCACTGCATGCATTCATGCTCCAATTAGCAGTCATTTGCCTCCAACCGATACATTTGTACAACCGATTTACGCCCCTTTTCAAGGCATTAGCAGTCAAAAGCACCATTCTTTTATCCCGATTCTCCTTCCACTTTGGGACATTTATTAAACAACGGAATGTGTATTTTTAATCCTTACTTTATCTACCCACGAGGGCAGAATTCGGTTTATATGCGTGTGATTGGGCACATTCATCATTACCACCCGACCTCTCTAGGCGCAGCGCCTATTCCGAGCTCTCTGACGCAGTATGCGCGTGGATTCAACCTGCGACGTAGGCCATAGCAACCACCAGGTAAATGCATTTCTCAATCGCTCCAAATGCGGGTCCACTAAGCCCAATTTCCCCGGCTCTCCCAGTCACGCTGATTTGTGTCCTGTTGACACGATGTTAGAGGGTACCAGCATGCAACAGGCACTGCCAACACCCGTATTATTAACCAGTTTTTTCTTTTTTAGTTTACTAATAGAGGTGAGAAGACTGCGTGGGGTGGGGCAACTGCACCAACAAAATCACACCCGCTACCCTGCGCACGGCCTTTTGGATCCCCAAAAGCGATCCAATTTTCGCGAAGCCTTCTACAGTCCCCCTGCTGCATTGTTTGTGGAAGATGAATAAGATTTTTGGTGTGTTAAGCTACGGAAGCCTGATCTACGTGCCTCCTTTACGCCCACCTGCAATGGTAGTGGAGGTGAAACACAGCATCATTCGTTTCGGTAAAAGTCGCATTCCATTTCATGAAAATCAAAAGAATGATGCAATTCTAAACTGTCCTTAGAAATCCTCTTCAGTGATTTACATCTGTTTAAGCCAATTTAATGTCCTTCCTAGGAAATGCGCTCTTATTTGCCTAATTTTTTTGGCTTTTAAATTGCTTTCTTACCTTCCACTTTATCTAATTACTAAGAAGCCTTTCTAAAATAGGAGTGAAAGTATTCATTTTGGATTTTAAAATAACAAGAAGGCAAGTCAAGTCGAGGGATTTTTGTAAAATCTGCGACTGAATTCATGATTTGTGAGCTTTCAAACGGATTGCCACACCACAGAAGTGAAAGTAACGTCCACTCACGTGAAACAGTCCGCCTATATACCCTCGTCTGAATCATAAAATGTGAAAGGGGCTTGTTAACGACTCGCTTTATTCCAGTCATATCGAAGAGAGAAGAAATCTCAAATGTATGTACAGCTGCTTTAAAGTGTAGCCTCGTCTGTACACCTAGCACGAGAGGATGCGCTCTATGGAGTAAGCAAATTGAGATGCATTGCCAGAGTGCGGGGGAGTAGACGACTTGGACAATTCCACAGTGGATGCACGTTGAGCAGTACTGAATTCGGTAGGTGAGACCGATTCAATGCTAGAGCGCGTGGAGGGCGCTTCTTTCGGTGAATTTTTGACTATGACAACGGCAGGAGCGTTGGCGAGGATGGGATTGTGCTCATTATGTTGCGTGTCCAAATGGCGGCGCAGGTCGACCTTCCGTTGAAAGGCGCGAGAACAGAAGGTGCATGCGAATGGCTTAAAGCCGGTGTGTTTGCGGGAATGGGTGATGAGGTTGGAGGATTGACTGAATTCTTTGCCGCACAGGTTGCATTTGTAGGGCTTCTCACCTAAAATCAAAGATTTCGGGCCGATCAGTTTCCCTACTCCCTAGTATCCTTCCAGAAGGTGCTTTTTCTTTGAAGCAAAATAGCTCGGAAGAGAGATACACGCCTTCACATCCTAGGCAATCGCAATGCAATTATCAAAAGACTGATGTGAAACAATGCTCAGTAGGAATTTGAAACATTCACACGCAAACTTTGCTCTTTGATGTGTGTCTCGGTACGTTACGGCTCAAATGTGCAATGATTACACACACATCTAGTAAAACACTAAAAAACGCATCAGAAACAAGGCATAACAATGTTTGGCATTCAGAGAATGTTCTGATGCCACATTATTATTCAGCGCCGCATTCCAAGTCAGTGCGTGTTTCATCATTGTGAAATATTAAGACAATTTTGGAGTGCAAGTGCTACTTATAAACCTTTCCTTTGAATAATCTATTAAATAATAGTGCATATGCGCTTATGAATTCCCTGAAAACAGTATACCAATTCCCAGGCTGGAAAGCTAATGTTATCACCTAGCTATGCACCATGGCGCGTGGAAATGAGGTTCAGTAGAAAGACACGGAAGTCAACAACTTCGGCCTGGGAAAAAATGAAAATTGCGCGGTATAGCAAATAAGACCTTAAAAAGAACTCTTTAAGGCAAATCAGAACTACAATGCCTGTGTAGCACTCATGCTCCACTCCTCTTAAGGGCCTTTTTTTTGAAACTTTAATTTAGTTACCCTTTAGATAATTAAAGTTTAACAATCGGATCCCAGGACGTGCCCGCCTCCCAGGGTTTAATTTTAACCAAGAGCATTCATGTTTTCGTTTACTAGCACAATGACATTTCGATGTACTTCTGGCATTGTTTTGCAGTTGAATTTCACGAGCCATAAGCAGTGATTTTTTAAAACCAACCGGCATGCCTCGGTAAACATTGACAAAGACGTCATGAGGCCTCACATCGTGTGAATAAGGAGGTCTTGAGAACAGTCCACTGAAAAAGTCTTGTTTACTTATTTTAACTTTGTAAACGACAGTCTGCTGCAAAATAATGAATTAGTCAGCACTCTTAACAGAATTGGCAAATTTAAAGAGACCGTGTCGCAGGTTTCGATAAAATCTCGCTCGAAGTGGTATCGGCTTGAAATAAATCATGTTGGATTACTTTGATTGGATTAACAACCTTAAAACAGACTCATAGGGCCTGATTTGTAATAATTGATGCCAGAACTGTCAGAGTTTGGAAAACACACCACACGGAGGTGTATTATAGCAGAACTGCGGAGGCCAGAAACTCACCTGTGTGAATGTACGTGTGTTTCTTCATATCCGACTTCTGGTGGAAGCGTTTGCCGCAATATTGGCAAGGATAGGGTCGCGTTCCGCTGTGAATGAGGAGATGCGTGCTCAGTGTCGACGATCGCTTGAAAGCCTTTCCACAGTGGTTACAATGAAACGACCTCTCGCCCAGCTTTACGGCGCCCTCTTTGGCACCTGCGCTGGGCGCGAGCTCGCATGCATCATTTACTTGTGAGCCTTGGGGACGCGACGCGCCGTAGTCCAATGTATTCCGTTCTTTGTGGGACCTAAGGCAAGAGGCACGGACAGTGCAAGATGACATCTTGCTCAGATATTTTTGAAAAGGGTAATTTAAGGGGAATCTAAACGAGTGATTGTCGGCAGCTCATTGATCAACTGAATTATATGCGTTGAGGGAGTCGAAAATATCTTAGTGAAGTGGGTTGACGAACCTTCGTATGTGAACAATCAGTCCATGTTTAGTCGTGAATTGTTTGCAGCACAGCCTACACGACACCAATTCTTCTACCACAGAAACCTCTCCAGTTTGAGTTGTTTTGGGATTCGAGTCGATAACGACAGAATTAAAGAATTGCTGGGCAAGATTTAGTGGTCCAGAATTAGGGGTCACAGACACCTGAGACACAGGAGATTGTTCAGGCGGTGGTGGTGGTTGGGGTGGCGGTGGACCTGAGAAAAGGAAGGGTGGTGTAATTGGCAACGGTTGGAGGGAAGGTGTGTGGGAGGAAGTATCTCCTCGACGATTGCGTTTTAAGGAACGGAAAGAGCGCTTCTGTGGGGACGCATAGTATGGTCCACCACGATTCATTGTCATCATGGTGTCGAGGGAATGCCACAGACGTCTATTCATTGGAAAGGCACTTTCTGCTTCCAGTGCCATCATCAGCGCCTGTTGAACTAGAAAGTAAATGAAGTATTTGAAAGCTTTATTTGACAAATGAAATGGGAAATTCAATAACATCAACACGTTGACATATCACTCATTATTTTCCAGCCACAATTTATAAACAATAAGAGTATGATCGTAATTTGAAGGAGTTATTTTTTTCTCAAAATTCAAACAGGTCTACAGATGATAGGTTTCAAACTTGATTCATCAAGAAGTACAGCCTTACTTCCGGGGAATCCATCGTCCGTATAAGGTGGTTCCATCCTGGGACGAGTCTCAAGACTCATATAAAGGTTGTGCGGGTATTTTGGTTGAAATGGGGAGGCATTCAACTGAAACATCCCACTTGTGGGGCTGGACACCAGGCTAGTTCCCACCTCAGGCCTGGACAGCTGTGGGAGAGGCAAAGAAGGCGGTCGATGACCACTGGATGAAGTTGTGAGGTCTACCGCTTCACGAAAGGAATCAGAGCTAAGTGTAGAAAGTGGCGAGACAATGCAGGCATTTTGAAGATCCGTATACATCGGTATCGGAAGGCCTGGAAAAAAATGGGGAAACCACTAGAGGATAACAGCTTGAGTAAAATTTGCTCATTTTCTTATGTTGTCCTCTATTCTGTCAGCTTGATGGAACCGTCCGCCTGGGCATCATTACAAACGATTTGCCAACGCTAAGTGGATGAGCATGAAGAAAAGCAAATCTGGGATTTGGAGGGCTGTGAAGCTTTGTTAATCCTCGCTATTTTTTTCAGACCTTAAAGGTTCTGCACACCACGCCCACCACGTGCCTACCAATTAAAGGTTAATAACTGAAATCTCCAAGTCTCATCATTGTATGCAACAAGGTGCTCCTTTATCCGACATATCTAGAACATCTGTACTACAACAGACCTTAACCATAAATCCGCATTTATTTAGCATGGTGCTAAAAAGACTGAGGTTTAAATAAGGGGAAAAGTTAGACAACCAGAGCATTAGCAAATCTTTTGCGTACCCTATAAGTAGTGGGAAAGGAATGTCCTCGGGTCGTAAGCCACTAGGTTGACACGGTAAGAGAAAATAACTTTAAGTCTCATGCACATGGCCGTGGATTATATTAGTTTGACTTGGAAAGGCATTTAGGTGTCACATTTTCCCATCAGACCCGTCGAAAGTAAAAAAAAATTGTACAATTCCAATAATTTTCACCACTTCAATACCAGAGACGCTCTTTACTACATTGCGAATTGTCGATGTAAATTGTTTTTAAGATGATAAAGCCATTTCGTCAGTAAATAATAGTTACATTTAATATGGTTATGGATGCAAAAAAATCCATTATGTCTCTTGCTAAGTATAATGAGGTAGGTAATAAATGTAGACGCTACCAATTATTGTGATATGCGCCAGCGGTGACAAAGCATTTACATTTCACGTTTATAAAGTCCATGCATTTAATACATTCTGCAGATATTTAGTCTTCAAAACAGTTTACGTAAACGCATGATGCATAGAAGTATGGTAAAAAGCATAAGACCGACTTACGGAATGAATCGGGAATATTGGAACGAACAGTAAGGTCGTGAACTTCTGCAGGTTGTTCCATGAGTGTGGGCCCTGATAGACTGCTTTTGCAATATCAGCACCTGGCTCAATCCATTTTTCGAGGGAATTTGAGGGGTGAATGAGTTGGATTGAAATAAAACTCTGATTGGCTACGCTGGTGTTCACCCCGTGAGCAGATCTCAAGTGAGTGGGCATGCACTTGAAGGGGGGGGGGAGTAGGTGTAGGTGAATTTCAATTGGTTGTAAGCGTCTCACCACCGTCGTACACTACCAATGAGCTGTCAATGAGCCCCGTGACAAGCTTGTGCGTTTATGAGGTGAACAATTGGGTACTTTTGAAGTGTCAAATATTATAACTTACTAGACAAGGCTGGTTTGCCTGCGAGGTGCCTCTAGCATACATTGAGTATGCTTGAGCACACTATTCTTAGGGTGAAATTAATTTTTTTCTCTAGTTTGTAAACCAAAGTTCGTATTTACTTAAAGAATCTCTGCCGAGGAGACAATTAACCACGTGCTTGACCATACGACCCTAGTTGCGGCAATAAACTTGTCTGCCGCCCTCCTACGCTTTCATTCTAACAAACAATATTGAATTCAATGCTTTAAGGAAACGTAATTTAACGCTATCTTCTACTGCCCACATGGGTTGCGTCTAGTGTCTGATTACTAAATCTAATTCATAGGTTAGGTTTCTCATTTAATTAGAAATTGTTATAGATTAGCATTGCTATAAAATGAAACTACAGCACATGGTTAAGCGGAACCATCGCCATCGGGCCTAATTCAGTGAATACGGCTTGATCATTGTAGGATTGGACACCCGCACATAAGCCATCAGTACCACATACAAGAGCATATCCAGCAGTATCCACTGAAATTTTGTATTGCTGGATGAGACTGAGGTTGTTTTGTAGCTGTATAATAGCATTTCTCACGTTTTCCAATCCTATGGTTCGAACAGCAGCTGCAAAACAGCATTTTACCTCCTACCTGGTTGCTAGGGTTGCTGCATCGCACAGGCGGATGGATAGGTGCGCGCTTGGTGCGTACACCGGATAATAAACCGCGTTTACTACAGATTGTCGGAGTGTATTCTCCTCCTGAACACACACACACGCACACACATCCACAAGCATGCACATACAGGGCTGTGCAAAACCAGGTGGTAAATAGGTTGTACTCACACGCAAGAAAGGAAACAAAGGGGGTGGAGGTGGAGGGGTGATCATTTGATTAGCAATGTGGGCACGGATGTGTTGCTATGAGGCGCGTTGAGGGGAGTGTTGAAATATGAGGGTCCGGTGTGGAGTGGTCATCACTTAATTGTCTGGAAGGGGTGATGGTCGTAGCAGTAGCCGGAAAATTTGCAGCTGCGGTCGCGGTCACAGCCTAGTAACACATCAGGGGGTCAGTCTGTTGATTCATGTTGTCGCTAAGTCGGGCTAGCAGCCACAGAGTCGCGCTAGATAGACTTGTTGTCAATCCGTCGGTTAGAGCGTCCCAAGGCAGCCTTTTGCTTTCTCAATTGAGATTTTTTGCGGAGGCGTAATTCCTGTTTCTGGGTCTAAATTTAAACAGAGTAGATTTTAAATGATTCGCGGAAATTGCACACTTCGGTCGTCCTAACAGTGCTTTGTGATTAAAATAGTAGTAAAGAGTAAAGGTAGATTTCTATTCTGATTTAGCATTAATTTCTAAAAAAAGCCACTTTTAGCTACCCTCAGTAATGCACTTTTGTAATCCAGATGGAATCACCTTCCATAAAAACAGACCTGCTACTAGTTTTACGCTCAACTTTTTCTTCCCAGACATTCTCTCGGAATATTTTCATCCCATTGCCGAGCCAACATCAGAAGGCCCGTTTAGTAAACAGGACACCTTGGGAGGGGGG